CCCAGCTTTCCTGGTTGCCGAGTTGAAAGTGGGTGACAAAATGCACTCGCTTTGCGCGCGCGCACGCACATACACACGCAGACAGCCTCTCGTCAATATGCGTTTTTGCTGGCTGTAGCGCTGCACAGCAAAAACGCATAAAAATGAAAAATGCAAATTTTTGAAAAAATGCAGATTTTCAGTTCACTAAAAAGTGGGGTGTTGCTCGAGCGGTCGTTTGTTAAAAAGTCCAAGTATGCAAATGAACTAAATGCTCATTTACACATTTCGATGAGGGCGATCGCTCGTTGCAAAACGCACTCGTTTCTGGTTTTTCGGTAAAGTTGATTATTCTTCATGCCCACCTGCAGGGAATTTCACCTCCAAGCAGAATTAAGACCGCACTTGAAAGAAGAATATCTCAGAGAATTTTCAACCTCGCATCTTCTCCGGTAAGCGAAATATCCACTTCGCTAAAAATATCTTTGAAGTGCCCTAATTCGCGGCCCAAGCGCAATTCGGCACTCATTTTAGGTGTACTATTTCCTATATGGGGGCAAACCAGCAACTTTTCGCGTTAGCACAGTATTAAGTTGCAAATTTTGACGTGATCGTACGCGCTGCACATGCATGCGCGACAGCTGAATTTGAAATATTTAACTAGCACGTGCTGAGAGAATATTCCTGCGACGTTTCAGCTTTGTACTTTGCCTGGTTTGGAAGATCGTTTTCCGCCAAAGAAACTGCATATTTTTTAGCGAGTCCGTATGCGGAGTCTAGGTGCGTGTGGAGGAAGACCTTAAAACGGGAGGGTGACGCACGGGTTAGGAACGTATCTCCAAAATTTCAGCCTCACAACTTTCCTGGTTGCTGAGATGAAAGTGGGTGACAAAATGCACTCGTTTTCGAGCACACACACTCATGTACACATAGACAAACTCTTGATAATATGCGTTTTTGCCGGCTGTAGCAGCGCTATGACGCTGCTATAGCCTTGCACAGCAGAAACGCATAAAAACAGTGTAAAGTTTTACGGACCTGTTGTTTGAGCTCATCGATTTCGCATTGGAGCTTCACATTCTTTTCAAGCGCTAGCTTGCTTACATCCTCTGCTGCCCTGTGCTTCGAGAATAGTTCGCTGATTAACTGCAAATGACAAAATCATTGTTGCTTCTTTCTAAATTTCATGTGGCGAAAGCACCACAAGATAGACTGACCGATCTTGATTATTACTCTCGCGACTGAAAACTGATCGTGAGCCTAGGCACAACTAGGTACGCCAGTCCAGAAACAAGACCTCCCTTTTCTCCCCAAACATGCAATTTTAGCGCCACACCGATGAACGCGCGGAATTTCAATATTCAATAAAAACAAGCGGTACCTTATCTTTTTCCCGAATCTCACTGTCGTGTTGTATTTTAACGATTTCGGCTTGCTCCGTTAAAACACGAATTTGTTCAGTTTTACTCTTATTCTCGAGTAACTGCAACCGAGTAACTTTGCCCAACAATTTAACAAAGTTGAAAAGGATTACAGTTTTCTTTGAGACAAAAATGGAAGACAACAAATGAATAGTTGGGCAGTCATTGCCAGAATCGCCCGATTTATTCATATGAAACCCTCATTCTGCTTCTAAGCATATGCCAGGTTTTTTTTATTCACAGTGTGTTCAACGGTCAATCACATAAAATGTCAGAAAAAATTCGAAATATGAATTGGGTGCATGCTGCCACCCATTTAGTACCTACACAAAGACTATATGAACTTGGGCGGGCATTTCTACAGATGTGTTCTGTTTATGTTACTCGTAGTCACTGGCGGATCCAGGAGGCGTGGTTGTTTCGCCCCCCCCCCCCTCCGCTCTCAGGGGCACAGGTAGCAGTTCTTTCATC